AACTGCAAAAAATCTCCAAACACAAATGGCAATTGTGCATATTCCCACTATCACGCGACACTGGTCTGATGAAGATGAATGGAGAGAGAAAGGAGGAGCGAAAAGGAGGAAAAGGAAGGAATGAGTAGAGGAAGGAGAAGATGAAAGCCTGGAGGCGAAACGTGGGAAGCGAATTGGCGTTTGCGTGACAGGCGACGCGACGAAGTCACCTGCCTTCAAACGTTGTCACCGTGGGAGGAAAGTGTATATTCCAATTACTTCACTTAACCATAGTCACACATTCAAACGACTTTGACATGTTTAATTTCCTTTTTTTCTTAGGTCATAGCTCCTCCACCCCACAACACGACCTTTTAATTGCGCTGCCTGCCTGCGGTGATGTCGTTGGGATAGCAAATGCATCTAAACACGGGGTCCTGGAGCCAAGTTGCTTTAGTTGGCAGAACAACTTTATGGTCACAGACTTAGAGTAGCTACGATCCGACCACCCCTGTCCCTTCTTCTGTCATTTCATTCAGCCCACCTACCGACACAACATCAAAGCGCAAAATGGCACCAGGCGGCGGCTTCTCTTCTCACCTACTTAAGGTGATTGTGAAATGTGATATGGCAACCTGAAAAACCACACACGCACAGACACACACCAACCCAGTCAGTCACTCTAATTCGAGCAATTAAACATCAAAGTGCGCGAGGCCCCGACCAAGGCGCAGAGGCGGAGGTAGAAGTCAGGGGGACGCAAAAATGTCTTTAAATGTTAAACTATCAAATGGGACCATGGTTATGTCGAAGAGGGGAGGGAAGGGGAAAGTGGGACACGCCGCCCCTCCTTTATATCCCCTCTGTAGTTCGCTGTTGTGCCTCATTTACTGCGGTAGAAATTGCGGCTGTAAAAGCAGATGGAAATCGCGCAGGCGCGAGACACAAATTGCGGAAACGCAGATGGCTCCTCCACTAATTGGGTTTTTGTGCCTTGACATCTCAAGTAGACTTGCTCATAGACAACGTGACATTGTAAATTTGCAGCCAACATTTGCGGCTTGTGCTTTCTTGGCGGCCTTTCTGAGCCTACGCTATTAAATTATTACAGCGAATTCGCTTTGAGGAAGGTAAACATGTTTACCTTCAACTAAGAAAAATATTTTCTAATCATTTATTCATAGCGTCTTGCTATCACGCATCACGAATTTTCATTTTTCTTTTTTGATTTACCCACCAAAACAACAAGTGGTGGAAATTATTCTTAAAGTGTTTAACTCAAGCTAGATGTCCTCTTGGTAAGATCTTTTTAGCTAAAGATCAGACCTTCTTCTCTGCCGGGGATACTAAATAGTCATGATGAACAACAGAAGGTGCCAGAACCTGAAAAAGGACTTGGTCATAGGTAAACAGAATGTCTGAGAGCCTGGTAGCATAGGCGGCATGATAAGGGTTATCTTACACCAGCAGTCAACTCTGCCATTCGTTTTAAGTGGTATCACCGAATAAATTCTTCCACAGAACTTCCGTAAGACAGAAAAGGAAATAGCGTGACAAATAAGCATTACCAGTAATAATTAATCCTTAATTAGAGCAAATAGCCCGCCCACCCTACCCTGCACCTACTTATATGCATTCAGTAGAATGAATGCTAGAAGGGAGTTGCAACTACTTAATTAGACATGTCGGATTAAGTAGTAGATACAGACCAAATAGGCACAGTGATGATAACACGTTGACCATGCGACAACATAATAGCGCGGTGTATCTTCACGCGTTGCTGTCAAAACACCGCCACTTGTGACAGATGACTATTTTGGCTGGGAGCCAAGGTGCGGAGCTGTGTCCCGCCTCGTCTCGCCTAGCTTTTCCTTCTGTTCACTTTTTGCCTCCCTGACATAGCCTCCCATTATGAAATAGAGCTGTGATGCCTAATCTGCAATGTCCAGTTGGAAAGGAAAAATGTATCGAAAAGGCGCTGTAAGACTAGGTGGGGGCTAGCGCTCCCGGCATGGTATGTACCAAGAGCGAATTTGCAAGTGAAAATCGTCTTGGGAAAGATCTGACTATGGCAGCTAAAGAAATAGAGCATTTTGGTCAGTGACATGAGATATTGGGATAGTTAGAAAGCTGAGGACAAACATACTCCTAAGTAGTCCGTTTAAAACTCTGCCCTCGGAGAACAGCAAAGCCGCATAGAAAAATCACATGTCAAGAGGGGGAAAAGACTCAAAGGGCTATGAGTATCTTTCACGGTCAGGTTTTGTGATGTCAGTGTTATTTCTTTAATAGCCACGGTAACTACCACCACCACTTTAGCAGCACTAGCAACAGCAACCGCCTCGGTAAGTCCTGTACACACTGTCGCCAACTGACTAATCGTATGTACAAATGTGCTGTAAACAACAAAACACATTCTTCCATCCTCTCCCCCTCCCCTCTTTTCTCATCGGTGCTATCACGTGCAGTCTCTCTCTAGTGTTCCCCCTGTCTCAGCTCCTCCACGTCGTGGTGTCCAAAGCCCAGGAATTGCACTTCCACCCACCGGTCTTCCTGCTCTCCGTCTAAGTGTCTCCACAGCTGTGCAAATTTAATGAACAGTCGTTCTCCTACTCTGACGAAGTATAGAAAGGAAAGGATTGCTTTGAAGACGGTGGAGATTATGGTGCCTGCTTCTGTAGGGGTTTCTTACCAGCGAGAGAAAGAGGGAGAGAGGCCAGAGCTGAACAAAGTCACGTATGCACTAAAAATGGCGGAGTTGGGGGCACAGTTGGATTCCTTGTTGAACTAAGGAAAAGTTAGTAGTTTGGATTGAAACCTTATCAAAGAAATCAACATTTTTCAGGGGAAAAACTTGACACCCCTTTCATGTAGTCACCGGATGTGCTGGAAGAGGCTTCTTTGCTAAAGAAGGAAAGAGATTATTGCTATGGTCAACTTTTTCCCTTGTCAATGTCAATGGCAGGTATCGCAAAATATTCCACGCGGCTTTTAGGTTGGTTGGTCTCTTCTCTCGGCACGCACACACACACACGCAATCTTCTCTCCGCCATAGGCTGTGCAGTTGGAAAACGAGGTAGAAGTTGTATTCACATCCACCAGGTTAGGTTATGCAACAAATTTTATGATTTGAAGGTAACAATAGCGAAAAGGTACTGCGGAGGGGTTTGTCAGCCTCTAGTAGCCACAAGTTATGTCACCAAACAACACCGAAATTCCCACAAACCTCTTTGACGTCCTAGTATGCCAGCAAGATATGCATGATGGTGGTTGTACTTCCTTAAACAGTAAACACATTCCTTTCTGTGTCCTGAAATTCCCCAGTTGTCTGCATACTTCCCAATGGAAAGGGGAAAGTGGAGATTTATATAGACGAAATCATGTTCACCGAAGAAAAAGCTATTTTCCGCCACTGGGTGTTTGGGTTAAGGTTTAGAGCTCCGAAAGCGGCCTATTTGGGGTAATAAGAAAGCATTCCATAACAAAAGGAAGGATAGTAAGATAGAATACACTGAACGAGACAATCTTATCAAGTATTCAAGTGTCGAGACGACATCTTCTTCCCAGTCTGATGCACATACTGTCGTCGGGTCGGTTCCTAGCGCCCTGTGACCATCAGACCTCGAGTAGCCATTCTCGCACATCCAAGCCGAACAATAGGTCAGGTAGGAGGGAGGGGAAAGAACCTTGTCCCATTCTGAGGCGAATTTAGTGCTCAGGGTCATGTCCAACTCTTACCAATCCTTCGTCACTCCAGGAATGCACGTCAGATGCCGAAACGTACAAACAGAGGTCTCGACCAGAGAGAAGCGGTCAAATGACGCGTTCCGTGTCCTATCTTCAAGCCCCACTTCTTTGGCCGAGTCCCTTACCCACAGAAAATGTCAAAAGAATATTGCAGTGACATTCTATCTATGTGTGAGGGGTTAAAAGTGCCCCAAATTCTCGACACTTGTAGATTCCATTCTGGTAGCCATTCCTCTCAGCTCGGTCACTCACTGTCTTACCTCATGTTGAGTTTTATGGCTCTGGCGGTATCTTTAAAGCGCCCTTTGAACACATCTGCATGGGTGAGCGCGAGAGTGCGTGCGTGAGTGGAAGTGTTTACCCCACAACTGTTGATGTTGTTGTTGTTGTTGTCGCTGCTGTTGGCGCGGTAAGTTGGTTGGGAGGGTGCACTTCCCACATTTCATTTTGCAGATGTTTATCATTGCCCGCCCTGGCTGACCTCATCGCCACCACCTTAAAATCACCCATGCACAACTCAGTAAGAAGAGGACGCTACAGTTGACCTAATTGGTCCTTAGGATCTCACGCAGATCAGCTCTGCCTCATTTAGACATTAAATGAACCAACAAAGGCAAGAGTTATATGCCGAGTCAGAGACTGTAGACTTGGGGATTTACACAAGGCGCGTTCAAGTCCAAGGGGAATTTCTGCGGTATACAAAAGGCGCCATTAGCGATTACCAAAAACCTGTAAAGCATTTTTGGTATAAAGACTTGCCAGTACTGTTGAATTATCCATTCTTAGTCAGTTGTGCAGTCAAAAGTGGCAGGCTCTCTTCCTTCGTGCATTGAACGTTCAATTTTTCCAAAAGAATGAATGCTTGCCTCTTGTCCAATATCACAACCCATCGTAGGTTGAGCCGACTTGCAGGATGAGACGTCAGATTTTATGGCATCAGGAGCCGCTATATTTCGTGCTGACGACCAACTGTGCGACAGTAGTGTAGTTTCCTGTGCTTACTCTCGGCTGTAAATAATCGTTGTGGAGTCAAATTTCACGCCTTTGTTCCTCATCACGCGCTATCACCGAGGTCCGCCATCATGACTGACGGTGTCTGGATTGGCTCTTGACACGCGCCTCAGCCAAAAGTACTCGTGGTACGAGACGAAAAAGTACGTCCCGCAGCATAACCGGACTGGAATTTGGGAAAATTAGTCCCTTTCTAGTCAATGTAAGGTTCAATTGGGTTCTCGCGATTGAGGTATCAACTTATCTGGTTCCTCATAGACTAGACTTGATCCGGATTCGTTCATTTGTGGCCATTTAGTTCAATCGACGGAAGGAATAACATGGCGACGGCTTCAGATGCACGGTTTCTAGGGTAGCGATAGCAGAAGCCAAGACTGACACCAAAACCGGATGCGGTTTCGCCCCTCTTGTCCCTTCCTTGTTTAATTTAAGCACATGAACGCCTTCATTTACCCACTCAGCACCTTCGACTTGTCGACTCTCACCCTTCAGGCCTTGGGTAAACTCACGTCTGACTGGAGATGTTCCCAAATCGCTTCCTATTGACGCTCTTTTATGGACCATGTCATGACTATCACCATAAGGGTTTGCAGTCTAAACAATTTATTAGCTGGATTTTCCAGCGCTATGTTCCTGTCTTAAGCCGCATATTCGGAAGATCAAACAACTAAAAAATAGGTTGTCTTGCTCGAGTTTGGCGTTACTTTTTATCAAAGAGGCTTCGTGATGCATTATTCAAACACCTCCACAGTTGTACATGTAGGCGGAGGCGGAGCTAAAGGTGGGGAGGTGCGGAGGAAAAAGCGAACGCTGTAACAGTTATGTGACCGCTTCTGTCTAATTTGCTGTCTGCCCTTTCATCCTAGCTTCTGGGAGCAGACAATCAGATAGGATTACGTAAACTGCACTAAGAAGGGGGAAGACACAGGATTATGTTCTTTTGGTGGATGTCGTGAATAAAAGACACAGAAACTGCCATTTGCTGTTGACATGCGTGCTCAGAGGGAAAATGGAGGTCCCTCTCTCACGGTCGTGCTGATGTGATGGATGCAGGGCATTGCGAAGCTCAAGTCGATGGTATTTTCTAGCCATGGCAGATCTTTTGCTCCATTCTCTTGTACGTCCTAATCCTTCACGTTCTCACGATGATGATGTCTTTACAACAATCGTGCGATTAAATGTAAAGTGGAAGAGACAACTGAGACACGATACGGAGGTGGATAGGGCTAGATAGTTTGCATCCAAAAGGAAAAAAGGTCTTAGAAAGTGTCTGAACGTCCCAAGGAGCGACCTGTTATAATTAGACCTACTTTAGACTGTCCCTGTATGGAAGAATGACCGTCCAGACTAGCTCGGCAAAATGCTCACCTAGCTGGGGTAGAGATGTCTACATAAATGGGCCAAAGTAAAAGGGACAGCAGTTTGCTGAAATCAGATAGTGTTCCAAAAACAGCGTCCAGTTGTATGCCCTGTCCAGCGGCAGCTGATGCAATGAAGACTGAAGAATGATGCTGAGGAGCTTCCAGAAAGGCCAACCTCTGCATCTAAGCGTGGAGACCCTAATCACCTTTGGGGTTAGATAAATTTTATTATTTCCCATTGGGGAAATCATAGTCCAGTTTGCTTTAGATTTTACCTACAATCGAAGCCATCATCATTCCCTTTCTCCCACCACTCTTTTACATCATCCTGACATCCGCCTCCATCAGGCAAAATTTAGTAGGTGCTAAAAAAGAGAAAAAAGGCAAAAAAACAAACAGCAGCAGCAGTATTCGTATTTCTGTGAATGTCAAAACAGCCTCGGCTGATTGGCTCCTGATTTGTGATGTCGGTCGGTTGGTCGGTCAGTCAGTCGGTCATGTGCCGGGCTTGTCAGAAGACCGACTATCGGCAGTGAAATGACAACCCTGCCGCTGCTACTGTAAGCCTAAAAGGAGTGAATCAGCAGACAGAGGTAAATACAAGGATCTCCTTTTTGCTGGGTTAGGGGATAGATGGAACGAGGAGAGTGAACTAGCCCAATGCCATCAAATTTACAATCTATCAGAGGATAAAACTACACTTTCTTATAATAAAAACCTGGCCATTTCTGGCCTCATGGGAGAAGGTAAAGGTGGAGGAAGTTTACGTTGTCAATCACCCAGATGATGAATCGAAATTAGCAAACTTTTGGGAGAGAGAAAGGGCCTAAACGGACTGAACTCGCGTTCCCCCGACGCCCCCTTTAAGGTACTCTGATAAAACAAATTATTCGATGCGTTGACCGTTGGCCACTTCCACGAGTTGACCTCCTCAGTAGCGCAATCCGACTTTGCTTGTTTGGCTTCTATGCCATGTGCTAGTTCCTTAGCGCGGACTCGTGGCCTGGTTTATTTCTTCAGGAGGAAGACGGCATATGGCCAAGTGGACGTAGCCTGACCTTGACCTTTATGTGTGGCACTACTTCTTTGGGGTTAATTCAGCGATACATATTTTTGATTGATAAATCTAGCGCTTCGTAAGCTTGGAATTCCATTCTGTTTCCAGAATGACCTGACGTGCCCTTTCGCCCTTTCAGTACATAGGCCTAGAAAAGACTTAAGTAGTATATCAAGAGTGTCTTAAAAATTCCAGACGCAACTAGTTCTCTATTTCAGAGAAAAATGAAATCACTATGGCACAAAGAGACTTCCCAAAAGAAGAAAAAAGATATACTACTCGACCATAATATGTGCTGCTGACGTGTAGGACTTAAAAACCACTGGCGTGCCCCAGAGGCCAGGCTATCTGGCAAAGGTAAAGTGTCGGAGCCCCTGAATGATCCGTCATTAAAACCGAGAGTTAAACAAACAAGTAAAGTATTGCATCACAGCCATCATAAAAAGAATTTGTTAGATTTCCTAGGGAAGTAATTTTACAAAAAAAATGTCCTTATATTTTAAATTAAAAAGATTTTCAAGATTCCTGTCAACAATCTGTGTCGAGGGATGCCATTTCTCAAGGCCCCTCCTCTTTTAAGTAACCTAGGTTTCCAAAAAGAACTACCCAGATTGTAGGAATTGAGGAGGAGACTGATTTTTGTGTCAGAGGGTCTAAAGGGTGTAAGAAGGTGCCCTTTGAATGGTGTTACCAGCAGTTTATTCAGTTAACATTTGATTTCAGGATCTGCAAACAGGCATAATGACTTTTTCTCAAAAGGAAAATTTTTTAACATTTCACAGAGCAAAAACGATTGACGATTAAAGGCCGTTGTGATTACAATGCGATGGCTCCTATTGCGACTTTTCAACAGAAAAAAGGTCCTCAAGCTGACCAGAACTTCGAAGAACATTGAATTTGAGTGAGAGGGTAGGTAAAGCTAACCTGATGTATGTGACTTGAGCCTGTCTGGCTCGTGTACTCGGTTAAACGTCTGACCTTCTTCACATGGCTAAAGTGTCTCGAACGAGGGAATAGTTCTTGAAAGAATCAACTTAGAGGAATATCAGAGCCCGTCTTCTTTGCCTCGTACCCAGCCTTCAATTCACCTAACCCCTGTGCCTTCCACTCTGTACTTATCTACATCAATGGAACCTCTCACATCAATTTTTCCTCAAGTTGTTGACACTAATCCTTCATCTCCACCATGAAGCTGTTTCATCAGTGAAGCAGACATAAATGGTGGTCACGAACCGGAAACCGCGTAAAAAGCAGTGTTAACAACTACTCTATCCCACGTCCAATTGTATTGAACCAGTGGTAAATCCCTCAGGAGGCAGGATGAAACCCGCAGTTATCTTATGCCCTCCCTCTATCTGCCACCATTTGGACAGCGTGCTAACGCCTGTCAATTTCAATTTTACCCCATCAGAGCGAGCTAATTTTTTTTGTTTTTTGGGGCAAAAGGGATGCTCTCAAGTTGAAGGAGAGGGGACGGGAGGAAGCCGGAGTCATATCAGGCGATGGAGGGAACTAACTGATTAAGGGTGGTGAGTAGCCCTGAGCCTTGAAAGCCCGGCACTGGGTGACAGCATATGACATGAGGTGATATTATCAGTCATTTATGCTGAGGTAGGGGGATTCGACCACGTCAGAAATGTGTCATTTCTTGACGGGAATGTCCTCTACTACATTTCATTTTTTAAAAAAATTGACAGCTTGGGAGGGCGAGCTAGAGAGAGGTAGGGGCGGGAGACTAGGACAGTATATCAGATGGAATATGGAATGGCTAAGTGTGCAGCCTTGGTGTGTGAGGATTAGGATGTGGTTTAAATAATTAAAATGTGGGTAAGGCGCTTTTGCGTGACTTCCTCCTTCCTTCTCAGAACGAAGCAGAAGGGCTAACTCATAAAATAGCTATAAACAGGGGGAAGGGAAGAAGGAAAGGATAAGTTATGGCCTCTTTTAATTGCCAATCATACATGTGAATAAGTCGCCAAGGGAGGCGGATTGAAAAGTATCGTTTGCAACTGATACATCATCGGGAGAGGTTAGGCGCATCCTCAATACAGCCTCCATAATGAGTGCATACCTTTTCCTCCAAGGACCCTTACCTATTGGCCGAAATTAGGCAGCCAGTCATCTTAGCTTGTCAGTGACCTCAAAAAAATTAAGTTCAAGGCCTTCAAATGGGATAAATGGGATAATTTGTGCGGATCCAAGGCCTGACAACCGTCTTTAATGCTCGGTCTGGATGTACAAACCGCTGTAGTCTTTGCACCTCCTGACCAATCACGTGGCGCTTATTTCTGGGTCACAACAAAGTGTTGAGATTTATCTCACGAAAGCTCACGAATGAAAAGCTCATTTTACATGCATGTAATGAGACACGATCGTAAACATAATCAGTTCGCGGTTGAAATACGAAAACAGAGCTAAGGACACCTCACATTCCTTTGATGTTTGCTCCAAGGCGGAGCCACAGAAGAACTCGCCCCCTGCCTCCTTTTTCCAAATGGGTCCTGTTTTTGAGACAACAAATAAAGATGCTCCATCGGGTGCAACTTCCGTTGTTTGCATTAGTGGTCGTACTAGTCGTCGTCATCGTCTTCGTGCAAACCACTCGGATTTCGTGGATGATAGCGGCGGTGGTGATGCTGGTGGTCCAATGTTTCCAAATGCGAGACGGCTCTGCAGAGGTCTGTGGAACCTTTGATGACTGGTCTTATAGTGATTCATTCTTTCATCTGTTTACTTATTCATCCATCTGACCTGTCAGTGTGATGTACCGCCGCGTTCTTTAGCTTATTCCGTAATTTCTTTGCATCGAGTTGCGCTGCGGTTTCCGAAAACAACAGATTAAGGTGTCATTATTCATTGGCTTCCCAGTACCATTTCTGCCGTTCCTCTATGTTACTTATCTGACTCCTGTGAGATGGAGTAGACAGCGGAACCTCGGATCTGTTTCCTGTTCACTGGAATCTTATCAATTATTGTCACCCGTTCAAGGCAGAATTGACTTCTCTACTGCTAGTATCGGTAACTTCTACCCTGTTGTACGCGGTTGGCTCATTGGAACCCCAACACGCCTTAAAGTATAGTTCTCGGGAATCTTCACTACTGTGCCACAAATCTAGCTCTCAACTCACTCCCCCAAGACGACACAGGGCGCGCAATTATGGAAATGATGGGAAAATGGTAGTATAAGTGGTATGAGAGGAAAGCCCTGCTACTATTGTAATGATCAGTTCAGAGGACTCCAAAAGACAATTCACTTTTAGGTAACTGACGTTAGTGCATAAACACCTGGGTACATACTACTTATTATCATCTAAGGCATTAAGCATAATATTCGATGAAAATAATGCGAAAACAGCAGGAGTTGCGATGAAGGTCTTTCCGATTTACCTTGACTGCGTAGCCACGACTGTTTTGTATCATCCGCGCTCCCAGTAGCCCAGTCTTTCTGCGGGCCTATAACAAAGCCACTTCAAGGCCAGTGTACGTTATGGCGTCTGCGGTGACTGCAAAGTTGTACTTTAGAAGGCGTCTTATGTAAGTTGAAGCGACTAGGCTACCAGAACCGTCTTGACTGTCGCGTCAAGCAGGTGTACATTTATGACAGTGATAGATGAAGTGTGCCACCCCTCAGAGGGCTACCCCAATGTACGCCACTGCAGGCACTCGTACCACGGCGTGTGGCACGACAGCTGCGCTAAATGGGTGAAGGTAAACTTTGAAGCGTCCATTCCAAGGGCATACCTACACGATGTCGATACTTTTGTAGTGAGCGCAAGTTACACTTGGTAAGGGTTTCAGCACACAAAGTACTCTGGGAGTCCAACCAAATGTAATCACGGCCACGGAGAATACAAACGAGCCCTAAAACTGTCTTACAACTAAGAAAAATGCAGCATTTTTGGTGCATTACAGAATTAATACTTCGGAGGATTCAGCAGAATCACCATTTGGTCAATCTTACAGGTTTAATTTCACCATTAGGTGAAATCTTCGTAATGTCCCCACTTTGGAGAGTTGTCATGTCAACAGTCAAGGCATTTACTCTGATTGTGCAGCATCAGAGCTATGGCCAGGCAAAAAAGCTACACTATCACCATATTTTATTGTGGAGCTGCAGCCACAGAAGATGTGCCCTTGATGCAAATCCTCCTCTATCGAAGTGTTAGAGATCTGCCTATCTGAGGGCTTTAGAGTCAGAAAGAACGAAGATGTTAAAATATGTCACTGCGTTACAAGTGTGTGCAGAAGGGCCGGTGAGCTATTAACGAGAGTAAAATGAAGAAAGCATCATGATACCAGGATGACTACCCGAACCACTGAGGAACTGCGAAGCGTGTACAGTTAATTCGTCCACTTAAATGCAGCGCTCCATTCAAATTTAAATTGCCAGCGTAGCTTTAATGGCTACTTGGAAATAACTAATTTGTTAGCAGCGCCATTCTCTATCCGATTATGCGACCCACAATATTGTAATTGATGGTATGCATCTCAGCTACTGAAACTGCATTTCAGTAGGCTCCATTTGCACCATAAGTGCAGACATGTACTCGCTTTAAATTTTTTCTATTTTCTGTTACAAACTCCTATTTAACTGGTTAACTATATATATAATCATTGCTGAGACGCCATTGTCCTATTATAATAACCCTGAAGTCATTCATAGTGTACTTTGGCATTTGCTTCTCCCACAGACGCACCCACTGCTGTGCGCACGTTCGCAAACGTCACAGTTTTTCCTTACGTTAATTGGTCTTCCTGTAACCAATCAACGCCACCGTCTCCTTAAGTGATTGGAGCTTAGCCCTCCTGCTCTCTGATTGGTTGTAGAGGCAGCTATAAGTTCAATGTATAAAGGTGATTTCACTCTTTAGTAAGCCATGCTCCTTGGGGCCGTGGTGAGTGTTTGGGTTTCTCGCTTTTTGTCGTACTGGTAATGGGATTAAATGCCTTGTCCATTAGAAGTGGGTAGTACTAATTGTAGGTTTTCTTTTTCAATCTGGTAGCGCATTGCACCTGCCAATCGCTGTCTCCCACCCATCCCAGACGATGAAAGCCTGACTCCCACCACCATCCGAAGACCACGTGTGCCCCGAATGGGTACTTGCGTACCCCCACGTCCTCCTACTACTTCTACAACATCGAATTCTAGGTCGCCTTGGCATTCACGAGTTGATAATGGTTATAATAGAAACTCCTGCGAATTAGTTGTAAAAAACAACCGTGATGATGATGATGACGACGATGGCAGCGGTGAGTTTACGTAGATGAATAGCGTCTGTAGCAGTCAAAGCAAAACCAGTGAGGCATTATGCTCCGATAAACAGCAGCGCCTGTCTTGTTATGAGTAATTCACCTCCCAGTCTGTCAGTCACTTTCGACGTTTTTTGGAATTGTCGGAACATGCTGGATTTTGGAAAGTCGACACTGCCTCCTTTGTATGTGTGTATACGTATATGCCGTGTATTTCACTGCGAGCTTTGGGGGGGAGTAAGGCGGGGGTTGGGCTGAATTGACAGTCGGCTCTCCCCACCATCCTTCCTGCTGCTTCCTCCACCCCAGGCCGGTCTATTGGCTGTGTCCGTTGTTTAATTCCCCCGCTTCTTGGCACGGTCACGTATGTTCAGAATGGTGGTCATTTTTACAGTGCAGCCGTAGTATTCTGGTCAGCAGCGCTCACACAACTGGTGACAGGTTTGATCGCATTTTTACGCCTCAATTAAAAGTGGGCATAATTTAACACCACTGCCTTCTTGATCCTGCTTGATGTAGTTATGCCACTCAGTTGCCATGGGGGGATTTTATCGACGAGCAGTTAGCTGATTTCTTGCGGTAGGATTGGGGAGAAAGAGTCAGCTGATTTTCTGCTCTCCGATTGGACGGTTTAAACAGCTGATCAGCTGAGTCTGAAAATCGATTAAGGAACAGCTGATTGATCAGTAATTGGGGGTATCAAATAAGTGTGATATTTTTGTGGATTTTCTCCCGACTTTTTTAACAATCGGGCTATTTGTGCTTGCCCAGAGTTTCGTCCCAGTTCGGCACCTTCAGAGCATTCCTACGCGGTGTACTTGACTACTCCGTTGCGACAACTGACTCAGCAACGTGGTCCTTCCTCTAAGAATCCACGGTGTGAGGTCTGGTGTCCTACCAAGGCGGTGATTGGGTGCCACTCGCGTCGCTCCCACTCGTCCAACACTGTGGCGCCCAAGACGACATCGGTGTCGACGATAACCTCCGGCAATCCGGACATCATCAACGGGATGTATCGCCTGAAAGTGAAGTGGTCCAGTGAGACCCCATTTAAGAGTGAGTTCCTAGGGAACAAAAGTCTTATCAGGAAATATCGCCAACGTCGAGGAGGGCGCAAACGCCATCGATCGAAGGAGGAGGCAGAGGAAGGGGAGACAGGAGAGGGAGGAGATCGTGAGTACGACTTAGTGGAGACAAACAATGAGGAGGGATTGAAGGAAGACACCCAAGTGCCTTCTTTGAAACCACCGATGGTTCAGGCTGCGGCATCATCCCTACTGACCCAACACATCACTCGTAGTCAAAGGAGGAGTGGCAAACAGCATCATCATCACCACCAGTCCAGTTATGATTCGCCTTGCCGGCTTGTCACCATGCTTGTCATCTAGCCTTGTTGCATGTATTCTTGTCCCCTTCTTCTTCACCCGTCCTGTACATAGCATTATTTTTCTATCATCGTCCAAGCAGCAAATAAAAGTCATCTGTCTCACTCAAGGCAACTTTCAGTGTAAAAAATAAGAAGTCTAGTTGGACAATAGAGGGAATTGAAAGAGATAAGGGGAGTGGAGTTTTTAGCTGTGGTGCCTCTATTTTTACTTTGGGTAGGTACATGGCGGATTTTATGAACGCCAGGTGATCTTTGCGACCTCCACATTGGATCCTGGTCCTCAACAATGGTGCACTTTTAAAATGTCCCTTGCTGGAGTTTGTGTTTTGATTCACTTTTGTTTTAATTAAGATTACAGGCCAAAGTGGGATCTGAATGTCCAACATGTGTGGCAGTAGTGGCAGAGGTGTCTTATTTCCGTGCTTTGTCTGTGCACGGTAATCGGCGGATTAAATGCATAGGTAGGTAAAAAGATGGATTAAAAATTCTAAGGATGCAGCTCTCTATCCACAGAACACTTTCGCCCGGTGTAAACCATCGATTCTCGTTTATTATCAATACGCAGGAGTGATTTATGAATTTTACAGAATTTTAGAGAAGCGAAAAGGGTTCAGTGATTTCAAACAGACCCGTCCTACCCAATTCGCTTGCACAGTGACATTGTTTGAAGGTAGGCGATTTCGTCGCGTCGCCTGTCACGCAAACGTCAAATCGCTTCCCACGTTTCGCCTCCAGGCTTTCATCTTCTCCTTCCTCTACTCATTCCTTCCTTTTCCTCCTTTTCGCTCCTCCTTTCTCTCTCCATTCATCTTTATCAGACCAATGTCGCGTGATAGTGGGAATATGCACAATTGCCATTTGTGTTTGGAGGTTTTTTGCAGTT